AACTATGTTAATAATATTAACTATTATATTAAATTTAAATATATTGATTACATTATATTAAATACTACAAACAATCCTATATTTAATTTTTTTATATATCAATTAATTAATAAATATTTAAATTGTATTATTTAAATTACAAATTTCTAATAATTCGTTATTAATTTAATATTAATTTAAATTATAAAATCTGTCTCATTTGTAATAACCGATTGAAATTTATTGGCGGCCATGTTTTAATTTTATATTTTAAAATCTCTCGCTTCAACATTTAGGGGCCATATTGGTCGCCATTTTAGCTTATTTGTCTTTTTGATACTTTTTGATATTCGAGACAGCGGACTCAAATCCAATCTTTATTTTAGAATTTTCTAGAAAAATATATAATTTTAGGAAAAATAATTCATTTGACTCCAAATAGTTTGATGACAAAATAAAGAAAAATGAATCGGACCGATACCGTAAAATTGATTGTCAATCTTTTAGATGGCAAATATAATTACGGATAGGTGTAACCAGTTGCAAATATAAATAAATGATGCTACTGACAATCTTTTACCCCATAGTGAAGAGCGATTGCGATATCCGCGCTATCGTAATTGACCGATCAGCTGGATCGATCGCAGCGATTTTCTTTCATAGTGCAAAGCGATTTTATTAATTCATAAATTTTTATCAGTCAAATTATTATTTTTATACAAAATCATCATGAAAAGGGCAAAAATTATTAATGAGAATGACCAAAGCATTAGAAGTATGAAAATATTAAATGCCAACTTTCAATGTGGGTAAATTTAAAAAATGATAAGATGTCTACTTTGAGTATATAAAAAATTAATAATATATAACATCTTTTGTGAATTTGGGATCTAACTGAAATTCTTCTATGAATTCCTTATTATCAAATTTTCAGTAGCTTCTTAATATCTTTAAATAATAGATACATATCTAAAATTGTGTCATGGTTTGAAATAGACAGCTGACATTATTGTAATAAAAATATGTGATCTTTTACTTATAATTTCAAATTTTTCCTATTTTTATATTAATCTAATTGTTTCCAGATTTTTAGGCAAAATTTTTTATAATTTGTCTTTACTAATAAATAAATTAGAATTTAAAAGTGATCTTATATTTGTGTGAAATTATATTTCAATAAATTTAATGAAGATAAAATGACAAAAGAAGTTAAAATTATGCTTTAATTCTAACATAACTTAAATAAAGAATGAGATATAATAAAGTATACAAATTGAATTTAAATAATTTTATTCAAAAAATTTTCATTTCATTTACAACTGTAGCACTAATAAAAACATAAATAATTACAATCATTTTATAATTAAAATGTAAAATGTGAATAAAAATACATTTATTAACAATTATCACAAAACCAATGAATTTTACAAGGTTTTTTTAAAAAAAATTTGTCATTTGAAGTGGAACCAGTGCAAACAAATATCACATCATCGATGACATTTTTGACAAATCCAGGACTCTGCCATAATATTGTTCTTTAAAAATCCTGAACTTGTACCCATGCATCACTTGTCAAATATGATTTTATTATTTCAAAATCCACTTGATCAATTTGACATTGCATATCTTTTTTATGGTAAAAATGTCATCAAAATCAACCATTTCATTATTATAAATTTTATTCATTGCAGACTGTTTACAAATTTTATTTATAATCTATCTTCCCTTGTGTTCTTTGAGAATGTTGTATAAGGTTTAAATAACTTTTCGAGAAAAATAAATGTATTAATATATATTTTTTAAAGTTACTATGAGTTATCTGATGATTTTTAATTTCAGACAAAAATATATATTATCTCTTTTTACAATTTCGGAAAAACATCAAAAAAACTATATATTAAAACTATAATATCAAAAAATCTATATCAAAATCGCGAGCGAAACTATATATAAAATCATCATAAAAATCAATAATATCAAATCGATATATATATTTTTCTTTACACTTTAATCAATAACCTAATTTTAACAAAAAAATCAATACATTTTCATATCATATTACAACACCGACAAATTTTGAAGTGAAAATATTTTGACTTTTTGATCCGGCAAATGTTTAAAGATCGTTTAAGACTACATATAACATTTACTATAAAAATTTAAACCTAATATGGTAGACACAGATAATAAAATTTAATGAATTTAATCGATAGTGTAAGAGAATGTAAATATATGATAAAATGGAGGATGATTATAAAGATTCAAACAAGAAAACACTATTTTGGAGTAATCTAGGTTTGCAGTTTGGCCAACCTGGTATTAAAATTTCATAAATATATCATTATAATCATAGGCGTAGCCAGGATTTTCCTAAGGGGGTGGGGAATTAAAAAATTACCGAGGGCTTCGCCCCCAGATTCCAATTTGGGGGCGCTTTTGGCCGGGTTACCTTAGTCTATATATAGTGATAAAATGTTTTTACAAGATAGGAGGTTAATTTTAGTAAAAAAAATAAGCCTGGAACAAATATGAAATATATTTTTATTAATTTATATAAATATAATTAATTACTTGTATATACATTAATATAAAAGCAGAGTAATAATTTATTCCAAACAAGTATAAGAAATTTATTTATAAAAAGTAAGTAGACATATAGTTGATATTCCTCAATTATATATAACTAGTAGAAAGCCCGTCAAAAATGACGGGGAATGAGATTTTTATTCATTTTTTACGATAGATGTCATGCCAGGTTCAAGCTCACAATATTAGGAAGCATCCAAGATCTTATAATTTTAAAAAAGTTTATCAAGCCCAGCTCAACCCTTAATAATTTTTAAAAGATATTCCCAAGTCAGGTGCAAGCTAATATTAATTTTGAAGTTCCAAGCCCAGTCCTGCCTATTATAATTTTGAAAATTTTTTCCCGCCTCGGAGACAGTTAAATTTTAAATATCATCACTTGAACGGGAAATATCTGATTTACCAATTAGTCTAATATGGAAAAAAAAACATGTAAATTCCGTATTAAAGGAAACTGGGAAGGCCTGGGCACTTATTAGAGAATCATGACAAATAAAATAAAAATAACCGACTCTTATACTTTTTTGTAATATGATCAATTAAAATTATATCTAAAAAATATGTTGTTTATTATATAAGGTGATTGTTGTTTTTCAGATATATTTAATGTATGTCTTGCATTTCTGAAATTATTTGTCAAAGAATTTGATAAGGGATATATATATTTTTTATGTTAAGTAAAAAAAAATGCTGTCTATTTAAATTACAAAAATTCCATTAAACACTAATGAAACTTATATGCAAATTATTTATATATTTTTAAAGATATTTTTTTTTATTGACATATAAATTTAGGATAATTTTTTTAAAAAATAATGAGGAATATTTATTATGTATTTGATAAAATTAAGAGCAAATCCTTGTTTACATTTTAATTTTTGATGGAAAACGTGACAAAATAAATCTGAGCGGTCGTCTGGAGAGGAAATAATTAATATATCATTTTATATAATTTAGGGTTGTAGTGAAGTAATGACGGATTAACAAAGCAGTGTACAAAACACAATACGTACTGATAAAGATGATATGCCTATGAACGCAAAACGATATTTGTGTCAATGTCAGCATTGGTATCCCCCTCTAAAATAGAATCATGAACGACAATGTTATCTAAACCATAAAACGCTCATAAGTATTGTTATAATGGCCACGATAGAACTACTGCATATTTTTCCATTAATAAAGTTGATGAAATTGGCTGTACTGTACATTCAAGTTTGAACACGCAAAACGATATTTCTGTCAATGTCAGAATTGGTATCCCCTTCTAAAATAGAATCATGAACGACAATGTTAACTCAACCATAAAACGGTCGTAAGTATTGGTATAAAAGCCACGACAGAAATACTGTATATTTTTCCATTAATAAAGTTGATGAAATTGGCCGTACTGTACATTCAAGTTTGAACATTCCTCTAAATATTCATGAAAGTTTCTCAGAGAATCGGATAAAGTAATATTTATATTAACTCCTAGTAAAGTGAATGATAGTACAGAATTAAATGTTTATATTTGTTAAAAAATAGGCGGAGGTGGCATAGGGATTGTGGCAGTGGTGATAGAAATATCATTTGGAGAAATGGGTGAAAACAAAATAAACATATATATAAAACATAAGATAAAAAAAAATAAACCTCCAGATGAGTTCATTTCAAGCGTAGTTCTTTTTTAATTTGTCTACCAGTAACTTTAGAACGGGTAAGGCGTTTGTTTAATCGTCATTATTTTCTTTGCTTATCTTTAATAATAGATTCATCATGTTTTGTAGCAATGTGAGGGATTAGGGTTAGCCTAGACAAATAAAGAAATCAGGCAAAAATATAAATAAACTATTGTTAAAATTAAACAAACATTAGAATAATGTAAAACCGGTAGATGGGTCAATATTAGATGCATATTTCTAGTAGTTAGAGGGCTATCATCAAAAGACTTATCAAGCCTATTATGATATTCTAAAAGTTAAAAAATAACATGATGAATGTAATGTTATTAAGATTAAGGTTAATTAATTGTAAGGTAATTAAAAAATGAGATTAAAGAGAGGGGGGGGAAGAAGGTACTAATTTTTATATTATAAAAATAATAAAAATTAAATTAAAGGAATTGATAAGGTTTTGAGTGGTTAATAGATAATAGAGATAGAAAGAAAAGAATGAGATAATAAAATTTAGTGATAAATAAATTCATTAAGGGAGGGGAAAAAAATAAAGTAAGTGGATTGGAGATTATAAATAGGTTAGGATAAGAATATTTAAATATTTGAATATACTTGGTTATCTTCTTAATTATTGGTTATGAAAGAAAAATATGAGTATAACAAAATTTCATTAATGTGTAATTGATAATATGATATGAAAATTGAAAAGATAATCTAAAAAATAAATAAAGGATTAAGTGAAAAGTTTCATTCATATTTACAAATTTGAGGGAATATTGTTTATCTCTCAATCCATGTTAGGTATGTGTACACCAACAATTCCATTCATCTGTATGAATAAAATAAAATAAAATCAACAAATAAAAAAAATAAAAATAAATACGTACCGATGACATGACGTAGCGATGACGGTGAGACATCGGAAAATTATAATATAGACTTATTTACAAAATTTGAAGTAAAATTCCACTTTTATAGATATATTTGACAGTTAGAGAATATATTACAGTTAGAAAATATATTACAGTTAATATTTTAACAAATTTTACTAATCAATGCTCTTGATAATAAATATAACAACAATTTGCATTCATTATTTAACGCCATCTATTTATTTTAAATAAAAAATGATATTATAATCTTCTTATTATTCATCCCACAATGTCTTTAAAAGATATTTTCTGATGTTCTTATCAATATTTTATAGTTTTCTGTAAAATATATAATTCGCTATATTGGTAAAAATTAATTGATTGTCATATGATAATTGATAAAATTAGATATACTGTAAATCTATGACATATTCCACTGTTTATAATGTGCTTTCATTTTTTTAATTTATGATTTAATTTTATCAATAGTTTTATAATTATATTTTACTTTTATTAAGAAAAATATATTAAAATTACTCACTTACTAAAAAAATTTATTTGATATATTATATTATTTAGTAATTTTATGGATCTATTGTTAGTAATTATAATAATTTTAACTTTTGTCTTAAGACTTAACTTTGGCTTATATTCCATTTCTTAAAAAACATTTTTGGTTCACTTTTTTTATATATAAATGTCTTTTTTCCAAATATAAATTATGGTGAATAGTTTTATAAAAAAATATCAACTTTTACAATCTTTCTTTCAAATTATTGTTTAAGATATATGCATACATTTTTGGTGGTCAAGGAGTGGGGGGAGGACTAAAGTGGATATTTTTTAATAGCTTAAAAAGATATTCACAAAAAGTGATAAATTTCTGAAGGGGGGGATATCCCCTTGCCCCCCCTCTGGCTACGCCTATGTTATAATACATAATATCTATTATAGTCTAATTCAAGTGCTCCCATATAATATAATGTATTAAAATTAATTTAAATTTTTAATTTAAATAAGTGAGAATAGTCATATAGAATTTTGTGAATCAATTTTAATGCCATTTTATCATACTATTCTATTTGTCTCCTCTTTTTCTATCTCCTAGTTTTTGGTAAAAATAACTAAGTAGCTATCAATATCTTTCAATAATCATTTATGGCGCAAAATTAGTTTTTTAATTAAATTGAGCTCTTTCAATAATTATGAAAACAATATAATCATTTATTTACCTCTATCTTATATTTTTTAGGTGATGAATTAAAGGCAAGATGGAATAATCTTATAGATTATCAGAATATAGAATATTTAAAAAAAACACTGTATAATCCTGAAATTATAAAATATTATTTACTGTTGTTGGTGAGGAAGATGGTATAGCAATGGTGAAGAAATTCTCCTTTCTTTGCTCAATGTGGTTTCGTTTTTGAAGATGATGTTTTAATTTCCTTGCTCGTAGTTTGCCGTAAATTACCTGAAATAAAACGTGTAAATTGAAATTATAAAATAGAATTTACTGTAGTTGGTGAGGAAGATGGTTTAGCGATGGTGAAGGAGTTCTCTTTTCTTTGCTCAATGTGGTTTCGTTTTTGAAGATGATGTTGTAAATTTGCTAGTAGTTTACCGTAAATAACCTGAAATAAAACGTGTAAATTGAAATTATAAAATAGAATATACTGTTGTTGGTGAGGAAGATGGTTTAGCGATGGTGGAGAAGTTCTCTTTTCTTTGCTCAATGTGGTTTCGTTTTTGAAGATGATGTTGTAAATTTGCTAGTAGTTTACCGTAAATAACCTGAAATAAAACGTGTAAATTGAAATTATAAAATAGAATTTACTGTTGTTGGTGAGGAAGATGGTTTAGAGATGGTGAAGAAGTTCTCTTTTCTTTGCTCAATGTGGATTCGTTTTTGAAGATGATGTTGTAAATTTGCTAGTAGTTTACCGTAAATAACCTGAAATAAAACGTGTAAATTGAAATTATAAAATAGAATTTATTGTAGTTGGTGAGGAAGATGGTTTAGCGATGGTGTAAAAGTTCTCTTTTCTTTGCTCAATGTGGTTTCGTTTTTGAAGATGATGTTGTAATTTCCTTGCTAGTAGTTTACCGTAAATAACCTGAAATAAAACGTGTAAATTGAAATTATAAAATAGAATATACTGTTGTTGGTGAGGAAGATGGATTAGCGATGGTGAAGGAGTTCTCTTTTCTTTCCTCAATGTGGTTTCGTTTTTGAAGATGATGTTGTAAATTTGCTAGTAGTTTACCGTAAATAACCTGAAATAAAACGTGTAAATTGAAATTATAAAAAAGAATTTACTGTTGTTGGTGATGAAGATGGTTTAGCGATGGTGAAGGAGTTCTCTTTTCTTTGCCCAATGTGGTTTCGTTTTTGAAGATGATGTTGTAAATTTGCTAGTAGTTTACCTTAAATAACCTGAAATAAAACGTGTAAATTGAAATTATAAAATAGAATTTACTGTTGTTGGTGAGGAAGATGGTTTAGAGATGGTGAAGAAGTTCTCTTTTCTTTGCTCAATGTGGTTTCGTTTTTGAAGATGATGTTGTAAATTTGCTAGTAGTTTACCTTAAATAACCTGAAATAAAACGTATAAATTGAAATTATAAAATAGAATTTACTGTTGTTGGTGAGGAAGATGGTTTAGCGATGCTGGAGAAGTTCTCTTTTCTTTGCTCAATGTGGTTTCGTTTTTGAAGATGATGTTGTAAATTTGCTAGTAGTTTGCCGTAAATAACCAGAAATAAAACGTGTAAATTGAAATTATAAAATAGAATTTACTGTTGTTGGTGAGGAAGATGGTTTAGCGATGGTGAAGGAGTTCTCTTTTCTTTGCTCAATGTGGTTTCGTTTTTGAATATGATGTTGTAGATTTGCTAGTAGTTTACAGTAAATAACCTGAAATAAAACGTGTAAATTGAAATTATAAAAAAGAATTTACTGTTGTTGGTGAGGAAGATGGTTTAGCGATGGTGAAGAAGTTCTCTTTTCTTTGCTCAATGTGGTTTCGTTTTTGAAGATGATGTTGTAAATTAACTAGTAGTTTACCGTAAATAACCTGAAATAAAACATGTAAATTGAAATTATAAAATAGAATTTACTGTTGTTGGTGAGGAAGATGGTTTAGCAATGGTGAAGAAATTCTCCTTTCTTTGCTCAATGTGGTTTCGTTTTTGAAGATGATGTTGTAATTTCCTTGCTCGTACTTTACCGTAAATAACCTGAAATAAAACGTGTAAATTGAAATTATAAAATAGAATTTAGTGTTGTTGGTGAGGAAGATGGTTTAGCAATGGTGAAGGAGTTCTCTTTTCTTTGCTCAATGTGGTTTCGTTTTTGAATATGATGTTGTAGATTTGCTAGTAGTTTACAGTAAATAACCTGAAATAAAACGTGTAAATTGAAATTATAAAAAAGAATTTACTGTTGTTGGTGAGGAAGATGGTTTAGCGATGGTGAAGAAGTTCTCTTTTCTTTGCTCAATGTGGTTTCGTTTTTGAAGATGATGTTGTAAATTTGCTAGTAGTTTACCATAAATAACCTAAAATAAAACGTGTAAATTGAAATTATAAAATAGAATTTACTGTTGTTGGTGAGGAAGATGGTTTAGCGATGGTGGAGAAGTTCTCTTTTCTTTCTCAATGTGGTTTCGTTTTTGAAGATGATGTTGTAATTTCCTTGCTAGTAGTTTACCGTAAATAACCTGAAATAAAACGTGTAAATTGAAATTATAAAATAGAATTTACTGTTGTTGGTGAGGAAGATGGTTTAGCAATGGTGAAGAAATTCTCCTTTCTTTGCTCAATGTGGTTTCGTTTTTGAAGATGATGTTGTAAATTTGCTAGTATTTTACCGTAAATAACCTGAAATAAAACGTGTAAATTTGAAATTATAAAATAGAATTTACTGTTGTTGGTGAGGAAGATGGTTTAGAGATGGTGAAGAAGTTCTCTTTTCTTTGCTCAATATGGATACGTTTTTGAAGATGATGTTGTAAATTTGCTAGTAGTTTACCGTAAATAACCTGAAATAAAACGTGTAAATTGAAATTATAAAATAGAATTTACTGTTGTTGGTGAGGAAGATGGTTTAGCGATGGTGGAGAAGTTCTCTTTTCTTTGCTCAATGTGGTTTCGTTTTTGAAGATGATGTTGTAATTTCCTTGCTCGTACTTTACCGTAAATAACCTGAAATAAAACGTGTAAATTGAAATTATAAAATAGAATTTAGTGTTGTTGGTGAGGAAAATGGTTTAGCGATGGTGAAGGAGTTCTCTTTTCTTTGCTCAATGTGGTTTCGTTTTAAAATATGATGTTGTAGATTTGCTAGTAGTTTACAGTAAATAACCTGAAATAAAACGTGTAAATTGAAATTATAAAAAAGAATTTACTGTTGTTGGTGAGGAAGATGGTTTAGCGATGGTGAAGAAGTTCTCTTTTCTTTGCTCAATGTGGTTTCGTTTTTGAAGATGATGTTGTAAATTTGCTAGTAGTTTACCGTAAATAACCTGAAATAAAACGTGTAAATTGAAATTATTAAATAGAATTTACTGTTGTTGGTGAGGAAGATGGTTTAGCGATGGTGAAGAAGTTCTCTTTTCTTTGCTCAATGTGGATTCGTTTTTGAAGATGATGTTGTAAATTTGCTAGTAGTTTACCGTAAATAACCTGAAATAAAACGTGTAAATTAAAATTATAAAATAGAATTTACTGTTGTTGGTGAGGAAGATGGTTTAGAGATGGTGAAGAAGTTCTCTTTTCTTTGCTCAATGTGGATTCGTTTTTGAAGATGATGTTGTAAATTTGCTAGTAGTTGAAATAAAACGTGTAAATTGAAATTATAAAATAGAATTTACTGTTGTTGGTGAGGAAGATGGTTTAGCGATGGTGGAGAAGTTCTCTTTTCTTTGCTCAATGTGGTTTCGTTTTTGAAGATGATGTTGTAATTTCCTTGCTAGTAGTTTACCGTAAATAACCTGAAATAAAACGTGTAAATTGAAATTATAAAATAGAATTTATTGTAGTTGGTGAGGAAGATGGTTTAGCGATGGTGGAGAAGTTCTCTTTTCTTTGCTCAATGTGGTTTCGTTTTTGAAGATGATGTTGTAAATTTGCTAGTAGTTTACCGTAAATAACCTGAAATAAAAAGTGTAAATTGAAATTATAAAATAGAATTTACTGTTGTTGGTGAGGAAGATGGTTTAGCGATGGTGAAGAAGTTCTCTTTTCTTTGCTCAATGTGGTTTCGTTTTTGAAGATGATGTTGTAAATTTGCTAGTAGTTTACCGTAAATAACCTGAAATAAAACGTGTAAATTGAAATTATAAAATAGAATTTACTGTTGTTGGTGAGGAAGATGGTTTAGCGATGGTGGAGAAGTTCTCTTTTCTTTGCTCAATGTGGTTTCGTTTTTGAAGATGATGTTGTAATTTCCTTGCTCGTACTTTACCGTAAATAACCTGAAATAAAACGTGTAAATTGAAATTATAAAATAGAATTTAGTGTTGTTGGTGAGGAAGATGGTTTAGCGATGGTGAAGGAGTTCTCTTTTCTTTGCTCAATGTGGTTTCGTTTTTGAATATGATGTTGTAGATTTGCTAGTAGTTTACAGTAAATAACCTGAAATAAAACGTGTAAATTGAAATTATAAAAAAGAATTTACTGTTGTTGGTGAGGAAGATGGTTTAGCGATGGTGAAGAAGTTCTCTTTTCTTTGCTCAATGTGGTTTCGTTTTTGAAGATGATGTTGTAAATTAACTAGTAGTTTACCGTAAATAACCTGAAATAAAACATGTAAATTGAAATTATAAAATAGAATTTACTGTTGTTGGTGAGGAAGATGGTTTAGCAATGGTGAAGAAATTCTCCTTTCTTTGCTCAATGTGGTTTCGTTTTTGAAGATGATGTTGTAAATTTGCTAGTAGTTTACCGTAAATAACCTGAAATAAAACGTGTAAATTGAAATTATAAAATAGAATTTATTGTAGTTGGTGAGGAAGATGGTTTAGCGATGGTGGAGAAGTTCTCTTTTCTTTGCTCAATGTGGTTTCGTTTTTGAAGATGATGTTGTAAATTTGCTAGTAGTTTACCGTAAATAACCTGAAATAAAACGTGTAAATTGAAATTATAAAATAGAATTTACTGTTGTTGGTGAGGAAGATGGTTTAGCGATGGTGAAGAAGTTCTCTTTTCTTTGCTCAATGTGGTTTCGTTTTTGAAGATGATGTTGTAAATTTGCTAGTAGTTTACCGTAAATAACCTGAAATAAAACGTGTAAATTGAAATTATAAAATAGAATTTACTGTTGTTGGTGAGGAAGATGGTTTAGCGATGGTGGAGAAGTTCTCTTTTCTTTGCTCAATGTGGTTTCGTTTTTGAAGATGATGTTGTAATTTCCTTGCTCGTACTTTACCGTAAATAACCTGAAATAAAATGTGTAAATTGAAATTATAAAATAGAATTTAGTGTTGTTGGTGAGGAAGATGGTTTAGCGATGGTGAAGGAGTTCTCTTTTCTTTGCTCAATGTGGTTTCGTTTTTGAATATGATGTTGTAGATTTGCTAGTAGTTTACAGTAAATAACCTGAAATAAAACG